AAATAGCTTCATATAGTACCGTCACCACTAGTACATAAAGGAACAATTACAAGACAGAAGTATCAAATAGGTGAAGTCCGATGTACAGGAACAGAATTAAACAATTAATGTGATGTTATGTCAGTATAGTATACATTAGTGAAGAAATCGCTTAATTTTGGATAAATAAAACTATGGGATGGGATTTCAGGTGACAGCAGAGGAATTTAGTATGTGGGTAGGTCTTTGGAAGACAATGGTCAGGGTTCAAGTTGAGCTGCATTCTGACTGTCCATACTGCAGTAGAACTTATAAGGGTTTTGTTTTTTTGGTAGCTGTTTTAATAATTTTAATTAGAACAAGAAGCCATAGGCGACAATTCGCCGTGAAGTATTATATATTGCAACAAAAAGAAGTAGCCATTGGCGACAATTCTCTGTGATGTGTGATAAATCGAACAAAGAAAAATTGTTTAAACGCGCGTCGGCTCAGTCATCTTAAGACGCAACAACCAATCAGAGATGCGAAATGCCGACACGTGACGCGGGATTTGCATACAGTCTAAACAAGGGGGAAGGGCGCGCGATGCCCGAAATATTTTTGCGTCAATATTCAGCGCCGTGTTTCAAGAGATTAATACCGGGAAACAATTTCTTTTCTTGTTTTGAACGCATAAACATGCATTTACGCTAATCTAGTATGATTCAGGGTTACTTTTTTACCTGCCATGGCCAGATGTGAGTATTGTGTGTACAATCTACAGAAAGAGAAATGTACATCAGGTCCGATCATCCGATTTTCACGTTTCGGTTTTTTGGACTCGGTTCATGAACGTATTTTGGTTTGGCTCCTGGAATGTGCGAAAAAAATGACTCCCGGGACTGTCTACAGGGAACACTCGCACATTCGCGGTGTATCAGGAAAGCGCGACTGGTCGTCATTAGCGCAGTCCCTGCAATTAGTAACAGTTGCACGTCAATCCGGCCGAAAGCATGATTGTGTAACACAGGCTACTTCTTCATATACTGGCTCATACTACAAGACGCCTTTACAACAAGCAAATCATAAAATTACCCGATCTACTAGTATATGCGGTTTACCAGCCCCAGACCACATCCGATCACGAGGCAGAACACATTGATGGGTTGCTAAAAAAATATTGTCCATGTTTACAAAGAGCTGCTCCACTAACACTATGGAGCGGCCCAACCCAAAAATATTGGCCATGTGTACAGAGAAGCGGCCAGCATGCTCGTTGCTAGGACGACCAGCCAGTTGCTACGTGACTAAATAGACGCCGCCACTAGGTCGCCACAGCCGACCAGTTCGAAATCGATAGGATTACGTCATCGGTATTTACATCTCGTAATGCTGACCACTGACCACCCCACATTTCCGTCCCCATCAGCCTGACCGCGACTTACAACTACCGGTCACATAAACGGACGAAAACATTTCAACGACATGGGGATGTTTCGAAAATAAGCATTTACTCCAATATCAAAACAGCTACGGTAAAATAAAAAGACGTGCATCATCCCGGACATAATGCCACACCACATGCGAAATTACACAGAAATGCGACGTACGGAAGAATGCGCTTTGGCTGCGAACATCTTCCAAAGAACTTGCCATCTCTTAACCACGGGCAAAAACATCTGGAACCACTTATCAAAACCACCCGTATCTGCATGGAGTTCCACCCCCCACTGCTATTCCAAACAACGCGTTTTTCTGGACCATTCCAATTCGCCTCGTAATTGTAGGGGTGCGTCTGCAATATTACATTGACCGCGAAAGCAGCAACGGCAAAAATACACATTCGTGCATCAACACGGGCATGCCCGCAGACGGCGTATAAAATTGCGAGCCGATTACACAAAGAGAACCCAGTGTTTTGACTGCGAACATGAAAAATCAGCCGTTCACAACACTCCGTCCGCATCGAGGTCCTGACCTCCTTCACGGAGTAAAAATGGGGTTTGTTGTCCCTAGCATTTTGTTCTGGATAGATCGTCTTCCGCACTTTCTATGTACCTGACTATGGCCACCATGTGGGTTTCGTACAGTGCGTGAATTAACTAACACCGACAAGGCAACAGCTGTCGACTGCATAAACATAGAACAGTTCAGCATGTAGTTGCACGTAACATTATGTACTAGCATGAAAGTTTATTCAACACTGTGTAATCGAAAGAGAGCTTGACATGTGTTTTTCTGGACATTTGCACCGGTGAAGTGAACCCACAAAATCACCTGCAATACTCGTTTTCTTTTCCTGTCAAGAAAATTTCTTACAGAGTAGTGCAGGTAAAATCTATCTTATGGGGGTAATTTGCATTTCGCTGCACAACATAAAGTCATGTGACTATTTCTAACATAAAAATCATACAAAATTTTAGCATACATTATGAAGCCGATACATGCAAACTGCTATAATTATTCTTCTTGACTTTACCTTATTTTGTCTGAGATTGTATACAAGATTAAAGTCTTAGTAAAACGTTAAACTTTATTCCAACACACTATTTACAGGGATCAAATTTTCAGCGACCACTGTCGCCTTCATCAGGATAATTAATGACCAATCACTTCAAACGTGATCTCGCGAGTAGCCACGGTCCACAACACGTGACC